TGGAACTTCATCTTTTCATTACATGTATATTAAGTAGATTTTACATTTTGGTATGCTGACAAATTTGTGAGGTTGCTGCAGTTTTTTGAAAAGACACAGAAATGTAAGTCCTCAAGAACTACATATATTCATTGCGCCATCCCCCCCCCCCCCAAAAAAAAAAAAAAAAAAAAAAAAGGACACCTAAACACAAAAAAAATGTAAAAGAAAAAAAGATGAGTGATAAAGGTAAGAAAGAAAAAGAAAACTACGTACAGAACCTCTTTGTCTTATTCGTTATGGATTTTTTCACGTGCTTTCAATATTTTCTCCGGTGGGTGGAACGACAAAGTCCTAGGCACAATCTGAAACATCACGACTAGAACAAGTTGAAAGCGTGCCAATTCCACGCTAATTGAGGTATATTATTGTTGTGAGTTTCAATGTTAGATGAAGTCTACGATCAATTCAATGGTTATATATCATTAGGTCTAAATAACATTTCATAAGGAACTAAATTTCGTTTTGAAACAGTCGAAAAATTTTAGTTTTCATAAAGATCGAAACGAATCATTAATTAAATATCATAATTCATATATTTCAAAGTGTTTCGGTATGTTTCAACTAGGGCCTACTTAAGCTCTAGGTCGTTATGGTACTTGCCTAGGGTCCCAAATTTTTTAGGGCCGCCAAAAATATTTACTCATTTTAGTATAATAAGTCTAATTATATAGATATATTAGATATGATTTAAATTTTTAAGGCCTAAATTTTAAAAGTTTAAATTAATATTTAATTTTATTAGGTCTAAAATTACTCTCTATTTGGTTAATCTCAAATTTTGAAGGGCCTCTATTTATTTTATCCTTTTAATATAATAGTCCTATATAGATATACTAGTTATTCCTCGTGCCTAAAGGGTTAACATATTTCTATTCATACCCAAAATTAAATCACAAACATAAATGAAAAATAAAAAATTTTAAGCATCGATTGTAATGGGGGTGAGTGGTGGTGGGTGACAGTGGTAATGGTGGAAGACGGTGATAGTTGTGGTGGGTAAGGCGATGACCGTGGTGGTGGTAGCAGCTGTGGGTGGCAATGGTAATGGTGGTGGTGGGTTTTGAGTGATGACGATGGTAGTGGTAGTCATGGGTGACAATAGTGGTGGTGGTGGACGTCAGTGATAGTGGTTGGCAGTGGTGGTGATGGGCGGTGATGATAGTGGTGATGGGCGACAATGGGTGTTCCTAGGCGGCAGTGTGATGGGTGGTGGCGAATGACAATTGTGATAAATGTGGTGAGGGTAGGTAACAATGGGTGTCAATAGAGATGGGCGATGACAGGTGGTGGTGGTTGGTGTTGTAGGAGTAGGTGACAGTGGTTGGTGGCGATGGTGGGCAACGATGCGTGCTGACGATGGTAGTAGGATGATGGTGGTAATAGTAATAAATATAAGAATAAGATGACGATGACAGTGGGTGATGGCCAAGGGCGATGATAATAGTAATCAGTGGTAGGTGACGATGGTGGTGGTGGTGGAGGCGATGGGGTAGTGAGGGTGGGAATGGCAATGGTGGGTTGGCGATGGTGATGGTAGTTGTCATGGGTGGGGTGGTGGTGGGGCGATGAGGGTGGTAGGGGTGATGATGTGATAGTAACAGTAGTGGTAAAGTGCAACAACGATAATGATGATGGTATGGTGCGACAACGGTGGTGGTGGGGCGATGGTGATGGTGGGACGGTGGTGGTGGTAGTAGTTATGGTGGTGGTGGGACAATGAAAGTAGTGATGGTGGTAGTGGTGGTGGTAGTGGTGGTGGCAGTGGTGGTGGTGGTGGAGCGGTGGATGTGCTAGAGGTAGTGGTGGGACAGTTTCCAACACTATTATTTTTTTAAAATATTTATGAAAAATAATTCCTAAAAGTACTTTTAAAAGGTCACTCCAAACACATTCTTATGTCCCTATTTTCCTTATTAAATTTGAAGTGTAAATATTAACCGTTAGATTAACTTTAAAATAAAATTTAAAGCGATCTCAACCAAAAATAAAAAAAAGTCATTTTATTTATTTTTTGAGATTTGAATTGTATTATATTTTATTATATATATATTTTGTATTTTATATATAAGAGAAATTTGGAGGCTGGTCCATCTATGTGGATTTATTTAGACTTAAGTTCACCAAAAAAACTTATTTGTTATGAAGTTCGTTTTTTTTATCAATTTTACCAGATTATCTCTTCCCTCAGAAGTAAAGTAAAACTAAAAATTAAAAACTCATAAATTTTAAGAGTTTGACTAACATTAAAAAAATTTCTCTCTCATATCTATCTATATCCATATATAGGTTAGAACTATATATATATTAAAAATAAAAAATAGTAATATTTGAACACAAAAAAATAGTAACATTTAAACATAAAAAAATAGTAACATTCAATATCAATATTTTAAAAAAATAACAATAGTAGCATATTCAATAAAAATAGTAACATATTCAACAAAAATAGTAACATGTTTAATAAAAAACAGTAACATGCTTAACAAAAAAAAAAATAGCAATATGAAACATTGAACAAAATTAAAAATAAAAATAGTAACATTCAAACACATAATTAGAGGAATAAGCTTTCTGTTCTTCAACATCCAAAAAAGTAACACTAAAAAAATAATATGTTTTATAAAAATAGTAACATAAGAAAAAATAGTGATATGTGTTAGTAAATTATGTTTTAAAATTGATGTTGCTATGCTAACATCAAGTACTTGGCGTGTACTACTCATGTTACTTTTTCAAAATCTCGAGCTTGTACCTTAACTCTAACTTTCATCTTTTTCAAATTAGCTTCAAATCTCAAAAGTCGATTATTTAAATGTATAACAGATAAAATAATGATTTAAGAATTTAAATTTGAAGTATTGTGGAAAGCTAGTAATCGACAATTACCATCGTAAATCAAACATTCATATATTTAATCATTGGCCTCCATATATAACTTCTTGTAGATAATGTCTTTAGCTTTCCATAACTGACCAAATTAACACTGTTAAGAATATTTTTGAGATTAAAAAAAAGTGGACTTAAATCCTTACAAATAAGATTAAAAATAGACTTATCCCCAATTAATTTTTTTTGACGGACTCAAGACATTATAAGTTCATTTGGGAGGACCCAACCCTAATTTTCATTAGATATAATTCAAATTTTTAGGGCCCAAATTTTAATAATTTAATTCAATACTTAATTTTGTTAGATCTAAAATTACTCACTCTTTATGAACTTTTATTTAAATTTTTTTAGTTCTTTTGGATGTGTTTATAATTGTATTTCTTGCACTCACATAAAAAATTTATATACGTTATCTTTTGTGGTGAAAATTTATAAAATTGGTTACTTCGATTGTGTGTGTTATTAAAGATTTGTACTTCATGTGTACATAACTTGTGGGTAAAAAATGATTATTTGCTCATATATTTTATCATTAAATTATTTATTTAAAACTTAAATTGATAAAATTTATTTACACTTAATTAAGTTTAAATGAATTAACTATTTTATTTATTGAGAAAGATTTATTGTCAAAACTTAAATATAAAAACTTGATCAATATTTTTGTATTTCAAAAAATAAAAAATATTATATATTAATAAAAAAATTATTAATTGGGTCCCATATAAAATTTTCGTGTAGGGCCCCACCTTACCTTGGGCCGCCCTTAGTTTCATCTAATATTTCGATATGTTTTAACCAATATTTTGAAAATAAATTTTTAATTTTTTTTTATTTTCATCTTGTTTTCGAAACATTGCCGAAAATATTTCTGTTTTTAAGTTCATCAAAATTATACACCAAAATAAATTTTTGATCCTTGATGATAACTATAACGTGAAACTCAAATCAATAACTTGAGGTGAAATGGAAAACTTTATAATTAAAGGGTAACGTGTCTAGAAAGGACAAAATGTGAATTTCCCTGACTGCCTGGAATTTTTTAGCCATATTCTTTCGATGTACAATAATTTTTTGTTTGTTTTTTTGGGGGAGAGTTGAATTCTTGGTTTTGCAAAATTTGTACAAGTTAATGGGTACTATTAGACTACAAACTCATTAGTGCACATTACGTTTTCGCCACCAGTCACAAGATCTCATACACAGACTCTTTCTTTTCTTTTTCCTTTTTTATACATAAAATAAATATGTAAATACCATCATTTCACGTAGAAAATGCTATTTGTACATTATTTATGAATTTTATTTAGAGATTTAATGATGTATAATCATTAAATTGATTGTGAATTTCATTTAATATTGAAACTAACAACTAATCTAATGATTATATTAAAATCACATTATTAAGTTATTAAATAAAATTCCTATAACGTTGCTCTTTCACATATTAGTAAGAAAACATTGCCTTTTAATACTTTACAATTTTACTTTTATTTTTTTTGGTTATAAGATATTTAGGTTTGTATCGATTACTCTTTTGAGTTTTAAATCGATCACCGTAATTTGAACTAATTTAAGAATATATTCCAAACAAGAATGAATGACTATTAAAAACTACGAGAAATATCGTAGCTAAAATATCTTATTTATAAGAGAAGAAACTTTAACTATTGGACCATTTCTGAAAATTCAACAACTCCACTTATTCGTTAATGACCATTGCCTTTCAAAGCTCCTCAACTATCTGCAAGAAATTTCACCATAGTTATGTTAATACTGCATACGCCTTTTTAATAACCCTCTCTCCTCTTTGACGCCACTATGCATGTATGTATTGCTAGACTATTCCACGTACATGTACACTTTCAGCTACAAATCAACATCTCTCTCTCTTTTAGACCACAAAGTTGGTTGATTCTATCTTAGTGCAAGTGGGTTGGTACGTACAATCGATCACATAGATCTTCGACGATACTGATCGAGCAACAGAGATGTCGGAAAACAACGACGTTTCATTCAGGAAACCGGCGTCCAGACTCCGGTGGGACGTGTTTCTAAACTTCAGAGGGGAAGACACTCGCGATACTTTCACTGACCGGCTCTACGAAGCGCTATGTCGAAAAAAAGTCCGAGTCTTCCGCGACGACGACGGGTTGACTCAGGGAGATTCACTCACTCCAACTCTTCTCAACGCGATCGAAGACTCGGCGGCTTCGATCGCCATCATCTCCCCCAGTTACGCTTCCTTCAGGTGGTGCCTCGAAGAACTCGCTACGATCTGCGAGTTTAAACGACTCGTTCTTCCCGTTTTCTACCGAGTCGACCCGAGCGATGTTCGGAGACAGAAAGGACCGTTCGAAGAGGATTTTCAAACACTGGAGAGAAGGTTTGGAACGGAAAAGGTGTTGCGATGGAGAAATGCTATGGAAGAAGTCGGTGGAATTTCCGGTTGGGTTTTCGATGGCCGGTAACAAACACTGTCTTCAATCTCAAGAAATTCTAACTATTTAGAGTCTTGACTATATAATCTTTTTCTCAGATCTAATTTTTAAACATCACAAGAAAAACTCTTGAAACCCTATATTAGGCCTTTAAAATTCGTGTCTCGTTTTTCGTGTTTTTTGAGGGAAAAGCTTATTATCATGCTTATAGCATATCCTAATTCTGATAGTTGGTTCAGTTTAAATCAGAGTAAACTCAACCCGAGGCTGTTCAAATAATAATAATAAAGATGAACTGTAATTTGTGTTTTAATCTTGTCAACCCTACCCTTTGTGGTCAAGTTTCATAAATTATCTGGTCTAGGCGTTGATACCCTGTCTTGTCTTTAACTGTGAGGAAGTTAATCCGGATACTCTTGACCGTTGATTTAAAAAAAATCAAATTAAACTCTAATTCATGTATAATTAATTTATTAAGATTCGGTAAAAACCTTATTACGACTTTGAATAAAATTTTATACTTCAAATTGGCCTGGAAAAGGATATGGGTGCTCGTTAATTTAACTTAACTTGTGGCCTTAGACATGGAAAAATGGTAAAGAAGATTTATTTGGTCAACTCTAAATATTTAACGTTAATACTGAATTGATTGAAGCCTGTGCTTTAGTGCTAGAGTTAGTATATTATAAAGAGGAAGAGCGATTAAATATGGGATTTGCAATAAACTATGTAAGGGACGGTGATGTAATCTTTAGCTCTTTATATGTAAGGTTAGTTGCCTTTTGAAGATTGTGGTTCCTACGGCATTTTGCCATTCTTTAGTGGCCATTTTCCAATTTATTTATTAGTAGCTGTGGTATTTTTAAGTCCCCCCCTGTTGGATTTATTAATTCTCTTGACTTCTCCGCAATTGGGTGAATATTCTGATAGGAGTATCATTTTTTAAGTTGTTACATGAAATCTACCCTCAACCATTAATTATGATTCTAAAATGGTATTTGGACTTAATTTGAGAATTTAATCTAGAAACTTTATTCAATGCAACCATTGAATTGAAAGTGAGCTCCATCTAATATTAAAATTCATAAATAATTCAATGGTTGTATTGAATTAGGTCCCCTAAATTAGATACCTGGAACATTACACTTATAGATATTATATTGGAGTCCTCTCTAAAACTCTCTTTACCATTCAATCGTAACCATTTTGTTATTGATATTCATGGGATAGTACCATGAAAAAAATTTGGGTACCATTTTAAAACTTATTCTTATTAATAGTCATGTTATACCTTTTAAAGTTGAAATTATAATTAATTTGGGTTATTCATGGTTGATCATAAATTGTTATGATCGGTTATGAATGATCGCAATCAAGTGTGGATTGACTTTCAAAAGTTTTAACTTTTATGATTGATCATGTCATTTGTAGTTATAATTTACACTTTTTATTAAAAAAAATTTGTAATTTTTTCTATAGTACATCCTGCGGTACCCTAATCTGCCTCATATTCATGTAGCATCTCTGTAATTAGTACGTACTAATGACAGTTTTTCCTACCAGTGACGAGGAGTCACAGTTGATTGAGCATTTAGTCAAGAGGATTTTGGCTGAATTGAGCAATAGTCCCGTTTTTGTGGCTCCATGTACTGTTGGACTCAATTTTCGTATACAGGAACTTATGGAATTGTTAGATGTTAAACGCAATGGCATTCAAGTGTTGGGGTTTTATGGAATGGGTGGGATCGGTAAGACAACCCTTGCCAAGGCTCTCTACAACAAACTTGTCAGTCACTTTGAACATCGTAGTTTCATTGAAAATGTTAGAGAAAGTAGTGCAAGGCAAAATGGTTTATTATCACTTCAAAACAAACTTATTGGTGATCTTTCCCAAGGAGTTTTGCAACCAGTGAATGATGATGATGCCGGTAAGGTGGCAATTAAGAGGATACTTTATCACAAGCGCGTTCTTGTTGTTTTAGATGATGTTGACGATATAAGCCAACTTGATGCTTTGGTTGGCAAGAGAGGGTGGGTTTACGAAGGAAGTCGAATCATTATTAGTACTAGGAATGTGAAAGTTTTGTTGACCCCTCTTGTGAATGAGATATACGAGGTGAAGAAATTGGCTTTTGATGATTCATTAAAACTCTTTAGTTACCATGCATTTAGAAGAGAGAAACCCACCATGGAAACTGATTTGAACCTATCCAAACAAATTGTGAATCTTACTGATGGACTACCTTTGGCTCTGGAAGTATTTGGTTCTTTTCTGTATGATAAGAGGAGAGTGGACGACTGGAAAGACGCTATACAGAAGCTGAAGCAGATCCGACCAAACAATCTTCAGGATGTCTTAAAGATCAGTTTTGATGGGCTGGATGAGCAAGAGAAGTGTATATTTCTTGATATTGCATGTTTGTTTCTTAATCTGGAAATGAAGAGAGATGATGTAATTGATGTAATGAAAGGTTGTGGCTTCAGGGCTGAGATGGCCATCAGTGTTCTCATTGATAGGTCACTCATCAAGGTAATGGAGGATGATACTTTTTGGATGCATGATCAAATTAGAGATATGGGAAGACAAATTGTCCTGAATGAAAACCATGGCGATATTGGCACACATAGTAGACTTTGGAACCGTGCTGATGTTCTAAAAGTCTTGCAAGATGGGAAGGTATGGATCTTCATCTTTTCATTGCATGTATTCTTAAGCAGTTTTTAGATTTTGAGCATGTTAACAAATTTGTGAGGTTGCTGTAGTTTTATGAAAGGATAAAGAAATGCAAGCCCTCAAAGTTTACATGTAATCATTGTCCCCAACCCCAAACAAGAACGCCTAGACACACGCACAAATTGAAAATAGACAAAAGGAAGATTGAGAAAGGTAACTAAGAAAAAGAAAACTAGGTGTTGTCTTTCCATTACACAAAAAAGCACTGGTAGTTTACATTATTCAGCTTGAAATGTAAGTTGAAGTTGTCCAAGGATAAGAGCCAACGAAAAATAGGTCGAAGCCATGAGAGGAGGCCTGATTGCAAAGGATTTAGTTGTCGGTGGTGGGTGGTATGGATTTTGGTAGACCCATATGTTAGAATATATTCTTGTGACGGACCTGGATAAGTTGGGATTCATGGTATTGAGTTGAATCAACATGTGGTAGTATCATCTGTGCTCAATTGTTGCTGCATGGAAATATCGAACTCAAAACCAACTAACAGTGAGTAAAGAGACCAACTAGGTTCATCTAGTAGTTTAGGAAATTTTACACTGCCAATGTCGAACGAGCTCTAATAAACTTGAATTTGACCAGAAGAAAGGAGACGAATTCAGCAAATTTTATATGAAGCCAAGAACACATCTCCCTTCTCCATTTCCCCTTGCCTAAGCCCCAAAATAGTTGCCAACTGGTTATTGTGAGAGAGAGAGAGAGAGAGAGAGAGATGTATAATGTGTCTCGAAATTCATTAATTAGGAGAATTACTAGAAGAAATGGTCCACTCTGGCTTCTGTTGTTGACATTCTATTACATTTGTTGGGAAGCATAAAAGCACAGATAGGAAGAAACATACAAGGACAACTCGTCTCAATAAAAATCCCTGTCCCCAATCCCAATAGTCCGGAAAAAGATGGAAGTTTTTTGTCTCTTTTCAAAAAGCAACATTTCAGCCAGAAGTGTTAGTTGTTGTTAGTTAATGGACTTTCAATCGGAAGGAATTCATTTCTCTTTCCTTTCGTTGGGCCTGCCAAAGCGTTCGAAAAGACTTCAATGACTAATTATCAGAATGAATCACTGCCTATCTCTGGAGCTTTCAACTAGCGTTTCCACCCATTTATTTGTGGTCAGAAAAGGAAGAAAGCCACGAATTAAGAACCAAAATAAAAGTCGCCAACTGGTCTCCAGCATCAATGTGTCTGCATGCCTTGTAGTATCATCCTTAGATTACTGTCGCATCTTTCAATTTCCAACTGCTTGCTCTAAATTTCTGGGAACAATTTCAGCTTATCACTTTATTATGTCTATTGATCCTTTGCCGACATGATTGAAATTAGGGGACAAGCAGCATTCAAGGGATCATTCTTGACTTTGAAAAGAAGAACTTCCCAAAGATTAAGAGTGCTAAAGCAATTGCTACGAACAATTTTCAAAGATCACCCACTTTAGTTTCTGCACTAACTTACTTGAAGGAGATATATAAAGGATATTTTCAACATGGTGCCAAGAGTGAGGGAGAAGTGATGCTTTGCACTAAACCATTTGAAACAATGGTTAATCTAAGACTGCTTCAATTGAGTGATGTGAAAATGAAAGGAAGTTTTAAACATCTTCCTGCTGAACTGAAGTGGCTACAATGGCGGAGATGTTCCTTGAAGAATCTTCCATCTGTTTTTTGTCCGCGGGAACTAACTGTCCTTGATCTCTCAGAAAGCAAGATAGAAAGAGTTTGGGGCAGGAGATGGTGGTGCTGGTCCAGGAACAAGGTACGCTTCACTTAATTAACTAATATATGACACAGCTGACTTGAATTCCTTAGGTTTGATGCTTACATTCTCTGAAACAAATAGCTGGTTCTGTTTTACTATTATAACAATCTAAGAGTGGAAAAGTTCACTGTTTTCCAGGTGGCAGAGAAAATGATGGTTATGAATCTCCGAGGTTGTTGTAACATAACTGCTATTCCTGATTTATCTGGGCATCCTGCCCTGGAAAAGCTAATTCTTGAGGGTTGTGTTAACCTGGCTAGGATTCATAAGTCAATTGGTGAGGACCTGAATATGTTACGCCAATTGAATCTGAGAGCATGTTCCAGCCTTGTTGAATTTCCAAGGGACGTCTCTGGCCTAAAACGTCTTGAGAACCTTATCCTCTCCGGTTGCTCAAATCTGAAAGCCCTACCACAGGATATGGGCAGCATGAGTTCTTTAAGAGAACTTCTCCTTGATGAAACAGCCATAGAGAAGCTACCTGAGTCTATATTTAAGCTTGCAAACCTTGAAAGGCTCGGTCTAAATAATTGCCAATCATTAAAACGACTACCCACATGCATTGGTAAGTTGATTTCTTTGAGAGAACTTTCAGTTAACAATTCTGCATTGGAGGAAGTACCCGATGGTATTGGCTTGTTGGGAGAGCTTGAGACGCTAAGTTTGATGTGGTGTAGATCACTTACTGTACTACCTGATTCGGTTGGGAAGCTGAAATCATTGGCAAAATTTTGGCTTAATAGTAGTTCGGTGAAAGAAATGCCAGCTTCTATCGGTTCAATATGTTATCTGAAGGAGTTGTTAGTTGGAGGTTGTTGTAATGTGAGCACATTGCCTGCTTCCATTGAAGGGCTCCATTCCATGGTTGAGCTTCAGTTAGACGGGACATCAATCATAGATCTTCCAGATCAGATTGGTGGCTTGAAATCACTTAAAAAGCTTGAGATGAGAAATTGTAAATTTCTGAGATCACTTCCGGAATCTATTGGGAAGTTGTTGGCTCTTAATACATTGATCATAGTGAATGCTGCCATAACTGAACTTCCTGAATCTATTGGGATGTTGGAAAACCTCATCATGTTAAGGTTGAACAAATGTACACAACTTTACAAACTGCCAGCTTCATTCGGGAAATTGAAATTTTTGCACCACTTGCTAATGGAGGAGACTTCTGTAACCGAATTACCTGAAAATTTTGGGATGCTCTCATACTTGATGGTATTGAAAATGGCAAAGAAGCCTTATCCTGCAGTGCCTCAGAATGCTGAAACAACAGAACAAAAAGATCTTGGTGCAGAAAAGAAATCTAAATGCATTGTGCTTCCGTCTTCTTTTTCAAATCTTTCCTTGCTAATAGAATTCGATGCTCGTGCATGGAAAATATCTGGGAATATAGCAGATGATTTTGAGAAGTTGTCGTCCTTAGAAATTTTGAATCTATCTCACAATTATTTTTGCAGACTTCCATCAAGTCTGAGAGGACTCTCTGTCCTCAAAAAGATTTTTCTGTCCCACTGCAAACAGCTCAAATTTATTCCTCCGCTTCCTCCAAGTTTGGTGGAGGTAGATGCAGCAAACTGTACAGCATTGGAAAGTATATCAAACCTGTCTGATTTGGAGAGTTTACGAGACCTGCACCTTGCGAACTGTGAGAACTTGGAGGACATTCCGGGCCTGGAATGCTTGAAGTCCTTGAGAATCTTGCACATGGTTGGCTGCAATTCATGTGCTTCTGTTGTGAAGAAAAAACTTGATAAAGTACTCTCTCTCTCCCTCTCTCTCTCTGTGTATGTGCTTGAATGTGTGTGCATGCACTCATGTGAATACTTTCAATCAGACTAGAGGATGCAGTTTCAGGCTAATTACCTTTGAATGTGCAATCCTATTGTCGACACATAGGTCTCTTTTATATGACTTATGCCTCTCTCATGTGTATGTGTAGTTTTGTCCGAAGTTTTCCTTAATTTTTGGGTGCTTCTGATTACAGGTCGCTATAAAGAACATGTACGAGTTAAGTATCCCTGGAAGTGAAATACCTGACTGGTTTGCTCAAGGGGTGGTTTGTTTCTCAGCACGCAAAAACTATGCGATTAAAGGCGTTATTATAGGCGTTGTTGTGTCTGTCAACCATCAAATAACTGACGATTTGAGAGATCAACTCCCTGTCATACCAGATGCTGTTGCAACAATCCTCAGATTGAATGAACCAGTGTACAGTATGGCAATGCACTTGGCAAGAGTTCCAAAGACACATGAAGATCAAGTTTATTTTTGTCGATATGAAGATCATCATCCATTGGTTTCGATATTGAAAGATGGCGACACGATAAGGGTAGCATTGAGGAACCCTCCATTTGTTAAGGGGGTTGAGCTCAAGAAGTTTGGGATTCATTTGGTTTTCGAAAATGATGATGACTATGATGGAGATGAAGAAATATTGGATGAAAGCCGACAATCTGTATCAGAAAAATTAACAAGGTTTATCAGATCCTCTGAAGCAAGCAATCATACCTCGGATTCAAGTCATGAAATTGAAGAACTGTTACCAAAAAAATTTAAAAGAAGCTGAAGGACACATGCAGGAGATCAGAGAGCTGATTGGTTGCTTTGGAGTGAGATATTTGGCATGGTAAGGTGCCTTTTAAGGTGGCTTCTACTATTTATGTCTAGCCTATGGAAATGTGAGGTCAGCTTTATGCTACATGCCTTGTAGATTTGAACTATTTTTAGGCATAGGAATTTGCCACTGGAGATGAGGGAAGAATATCCGTTTTACGTGATCTCTCGCGTTCTAATATCATATCTTCAAACCAGTAGACTTAGTTTATGTTGACACATTTTCATTATTAGAATATTCTAGTGTAGCGAGTGGGTATGCCTTGGGCCGATTTAATCAATATATTACCAATCTACCCATATAAAAAAAAAAAAAAAATCCTCCCAACTTGTGCTAGATTGCATAATAGATTGTTTCGCTTATGGCTCCTTATAGGGTAATTGCCTACCTGCTGGTCTAAATGCAGGAGGCTGTTAGGCAGGAGAGTTAGTACGTTACAGCGACAATGAAAAGCAGTTGTGCTTTGTGGAACATTTGGAAGAAAGAAGGGCAAGACAATGGTACAGTTTTGGTAACGTATCAACCAATTATAATATTATTCTTCTCCGTTGGGCAAAAAGAATTCTAGGAGGGATTTTTATGCTTGAGAAAAACGTAACTGGCAATCACATAGAGACTCCCCACAATTAACAGTTGCAATAAGCTTGTAAACAAATCATGCGGGAACAAAGTACTCAAAAGGTTCATAACAAAGTTGAGAAGCTCAAATCAGCACTGGTCGCCTAACGGTGAGGGATTGGATTTGGACGAACAATAGATTCGAACATACAGAAATTTGACCTTATAGATATTTCTTGAACATAAATGATAATTGTGGTTTGTGCGGATAATTGCTAATTATTCAAGTTTTATTCTTGCAAAGATGAATCTTGACTTTCTGAATGATCTTGTTTTATAGAGAGTAAAAAAAAAAGTTAAATATTCAAACTCTATACCCACTCAATTGTCCACCCAATGGTGGTGGTTGGTGAAGCTACAAAGCCCTAGACACAATCTGAAACATCACCACTAGAACAAAGCTGAAAAGACGACCATTCCAGGTGGATGTTGTGATCATACCAATAACTTAGGGTGGAATGTAAAAAACCTTATAATTAGAGGGTAATGTTTGAAAAATAACATAATTTAGCATACACAAGTGTGACGCCACTCTCTCTCTCTCTCCCCTCATCTTTGACTATGCATGTAATGTACTGTTTACTATTTCACATAAGCGTACAGTTTCAGCGACGAATCAGGTTCCACATCTCTCTCTCTCTCTCTCTTTTTAGACCAGAAGTTAGTGGATTCTCTGAGAGTGCAAGTGGGTTGGTACGTACAATCGATCACATAAACCTTCGACGATACTGATCCAGCAACAGAGATGTCGGAAAACGGCGACGTTTCATCCAGGAAACCGGCGTCCAGACTCCGGTGGGACGTGTTTCTGAACTTCAGAGGTGAAGACACTCGCGATACTTTCACTGACCAGCTCTACAAAGCGCTATATCGAAAAGACGTCCGAGTCTTCCGCGACAACGACGGGTTGAAACAGGGCGACTCGCTCACTCCAACGCTTCTCAACGCGATCGAAGACTCGGCGGCTTCGATCGCCATCATCTCCCCCAGCTACGCTTCCTCCAGGTGGTGCCTCGAAGAACTCGCTACGATCTGCGAGTTTAAACGACTCGTTCTTCCCGTTTTCTACCGAGTCGACCCGAGCGATGTTCGGAGACAGAAAGGACCGTTCGAAGAGGATTTTCAAACACTGGAGAGAAGGTTTGGAGTGGAAAAGGTGTTGAGATGGAGAAATGCTATGGCAGAAGTCGGTGGAATTTCCGGTTGGGTTTTCCGCACCGGCTGGTAACAAACACTTTCTTCTATCTCAGCTCAAACCCTACAATGTCTAGTCCGATTAAACATCACAAAGAAAAACTCTTGAAACCCTGTTTTATGCCTTAAAAATTCTGGTTTCTTGATTCATAAACTAATCACAACCTTTAAATTGAAAGCGAGTCTTAATATTGAATTGGTACGGGTTAAGTCAGCAATTCAGATGCATATAGAATTATTGAATTCTAGCCTGATTTTGATGTCATGTTTCGTTTTTGGGGAGATAAGCATATTTTGTTCTTAGAAGCATCTTAATCCTGATTATTAATCCAGTTTAGAAAGAGAAATCAGAGTTAACTCTAATTCATGTATTAAGATTTATTGAAAATCTTAATCTGGATTTTTGATAGACATTTTTACTTCAAATGACTTGAAAAGGATGTAAGTGCTTGTAAATTTAACTCCACAGGTAGCCTTTAACATGACAAAATAGTTAAAAAAAAGATTCATATGACCGACCCCAAATTGTTGAGGAAATGTCTAGTTGGGTATATGAATTATGAGCTCTTAAGTTGTTATTGAAGGAAATGGTAGTCTATGTTACGTGGTTCGGAAGACTGGAGGCTGCATTCATGAGGATTGTGAAATTAGACTTTTATGGCTGACGTTTTATATTTGATATTGTTAAAGAGGTTAAAGTGTGTCCTTTAGTGCTAAGGTTAGTATATTCAAGAGGAAGAGGAATTAAATATGGGATTTGCAATAAACTATGTTAGATACTGTAATGGAATCTTTAGTTCTTTATATAAGTTTAGTTGCCTTATGAAACTTTGAAGGTAGTTCCAATTTGTTTATTAATAACTGGTATTTTTAAGTCCCTAGTTGTTCTTGTTGGATTTGTTAATTCTCTTGACTTCCCCATAATTGGGTGAATATTCTAATCGGAGTATCATTTTTTTGTAAGTTACACAAAATCTACTCTCAACATTAATTATGATTGTTAACATGCTAGTTGACAATTGATATTGTAAACATTATATCATGATTGTTAGCATTCTAGTTGACAATTGATATTGTAGACATTTTATTGAACTTTGCCCTTTGTGAGTTTTTTAATCAAAAAAAAAATTCTTTATGCCATTCAATCTTTAGAATTTCATTATAATACATGGGATAGCATTATGATATTGCAAAAGAATTTTGGTATTGAAGCGAAAGTATTCTCTTTAATGGTCAAGTTTATAAATTTGTAACTTGTTGAGATTATTCATGACCGATCGTAAAATGTTGTGATCGACTATAAATAATTCGAGTCAATTGTATTTGATTGTAATTTGACCTTGGTAACTTGACATTTGTCATGTATTTGTGATTGATCATATTCTTTTTATAGTTGTTACTTACATCCAAAAAGCTATAACTAATCTTTTTAAAAGTAAAGTTGTAACTCATTTTTGGTATTGTACCTCCTTCGGTACCCTAGTCTTCCTCCTATTCATATGGCGTCTTTGTAATTAGTACGTACTAATGACAGTTTTTTTTTGCCAGTGATGAGCCTCAGTTGATTGAACAATTGGTGAAAAGGGTTTTGGTTAATACTCCCGTAGTTGTGGCTCCTACTGTTGGACTCAATTTTCGTATACAGGAACTTATGCAATTGTTAGATGTTAAACGCAATGGCATCCAAGTGTTGGGGTTTCATGGAATGGGCGGGATTGGTAAGACAACCCTTGCCAAGGCTCTCTACAATAAACTTGTTAGTCACTTTGAACGCCGCATTTTCATTGCAAATGTTAGGGAAAGTTGTGCAAAGGAAAATGGTTTATTGTCACTTCAGAAAAAACTTATTGGTGATCTTTCCGTGGGAGTTTCACTGCCAGAAAATGATGATACTGGTATGGTAGCAATTAAAACGATACTTCATAGTAGTCGAATTCTTCTTGTTTTAGATGATGTTGATGATACAAGCCAACTTGATGCTCTAGTTGGCAGGAGAGAGTGGATTTACGAAGGGAGTCGAATTATCATTAGTACAAGGGATGTAAAAGTTTTGTCGATGCCTCTTGTGAATGAGATATATGAGGTGAAGCAATTGGGTTTCGATGATTCTTTGAAACTCTTTAGTTACCATGCATTCAGAAGAGAGAAACCCTCCACAGAAATTTATTTTAACATGTCCAAGCAAATTGTGATTCTTACTGATGGACTACCTTTGGCTCTGGAAGTATTTGGTTCTCTGCTATATGATAAGAGAGAGAGGAGGAATGGAAAGATGAGATACAGAAACTGAAGCTGAAGCTGGTCCGACCTAACAATCTTCAAGATGTCTTAAAGATCAGTTTTGATGGGTTAGATGAGCAAGAGAAATGTATATTTCTCGATATTGCATGTTTGTTTCTTAATCTGGAAATGAAGAGAGATGATATAATTGATGTAATGAAAGGCTGTGGCTTCAGTGCTGAGATTGCAATCACTGTCCTCTTAGATAGGTCACTCATCAAGGTACTGGAGGATGGTACTTTTTGGATGCATGATCAACTTAGAGACATGGGAAGACAAATTGATCTGACTGGCACACATAGTAGACTCTGGGACCGTGCTGATGTTCTGAGAGTCTTGCAAGACGGGAAGGTATGAATCTTTGCATGGAACGTCATCTTTTCATTACATGTATCATAAGTAGATTTTACATTTTGAGTATGCTGACAAATTTGTGAGGTTGCTGCAGTTTTTTGAAAAGACATAGAAATGTAAGTCCTCAAGAATTACATATATTCATTGTGCCCCCCTCCCCTCCCCCCCCAAAAAAAAAAAAAAAAAGAAAAACACCTAAACACAAAAAAAATGTAAAAGAAAAAAAGATGAGTGATAAAGGTAAGAAAGAAAAAGAAAACTAGTTGTTATCTTTGCAGTGCGCAAAAAAAGCATTGGTAGTTCACATTTTTCGTCTTGTGTAGTGTAAACCAATGAACGCACCTCTGTACATGGGTAATTGGATGCAAGTTGAAGATGTTCAAGGATGAGAAAAAAGTGAACACAAAAATAGTATAAGCCATGAGAGGGGGCCTGGTTGCAAAGCACTTAATAGTTGTGGATATGGATTTTGGAAGAACTGTGTGTTGAGATATATTCATGTGGCAGACCTAGATAAGTTAGGATTCAAGGTTTGTTGAGTTGACTCAAGATGTGCTAGTATTATATGTGCTCCATTGTTGCTGAGGAGAG